ATAGGATTTCCTCTTAGAAACTCCAACAGGAATGTACCTGTGTAGATTTTGAAGACTGATAGTCGTTTCTGTAAGATCTCAGCTGCCCATGAGACCGGTTGTTAGATGTGATTTGTGGCTACGTGTGGTACCACAAAACAGGGGGTTAACAATTGTTAGGGAGCTTGGAGTAAGTGGAGTAGGCCATAGCCAGAGTAGTCTTTAAACAGTGGTGCCAGCCAGTATTCTCAGTAGGGAAGTTAAGTCCTTTGTATCGATTGCTTTTACTGAGGAATTACTCCGCAATCAGTCTGCTCGGCAGTACTTTTAGGATAGTAAGCGATTCCAAAATGACAAGCTGCACCAGCAAAGCAAAAAAAAAAAACTCCGTTGACAGACCTGAAGAAATTGGAACAAGCCATGCAAGCAGCATAAATAGGGTGGTGTTAGAGGCATGAATTGTAGGTTTTTCTGTATGTAGCATAGTGTGTAATGTGTTAGGTTCCTCAGGGGGAGCACCAGTGCTGTCCAGCTTTTAGAGCTCCCAGCTCTCAGGAGTGCTGTTCTGGGATGTCGTGCCAGGAGGCTTTTTCCTTCCTCTTAGTGCTGTGTTAGATCTTCTGACATGGTCTGTTTGATAAACTTGCCCCAGAACGTATCAGTTGGCTAGGTTTGCCTGATCACATCTATCCGTGTTTTCAGTTACCTTTTGTCCAGTTCAGTTGTATTATCTCTAGGGACATAAAAGGACTTGATGCTGTTCTAGGGAGATATTTTCTCAGTGGCTGGCTTCTGCTTTGGTGGTTTGGCCAGCTTTCTGGTTAGGTGCTGGCTAAAAAGTTCCTACGGGGAAAAACAAGAGGTGGGTGAAATGCATGTGATCCCTTGGTATCTGAGAATGTGAATGTATTTGCAGGTAAACTCACAAGGAAATTTCTGATGCACAAATAAGGGAAGAAAAATAAACTAAAATATTTTTAATATTGTATTAATGAACTCAGTTGGCAGATTCAGTAGAAATCTATTTTATCCAGATCCCAGGCTTTAATAATAGGCCTAGGTTTGTGTTTTTAATTTGGAGTAAAATAGCTATAAAGTGAATAGTGTCTTGGAGTATATGCTTATGAATACTAATTTGTGTAGCTGAAGCAGGTTTCTCAGCATAAGTGGCTTTGTATAGTGACTGTCTCTGCAAAACATCTTCCCTGTTCCCGTGGTAGTTTCACCTGTTCCTGAGTACAGGATTGCAGCTGTGTTTTATGTGCTGTGTACGAAGATGTGACAGGGCAGGGCTGAATGGGGACTGGATTGAAGCTGCTGCCCATGAACTCTGTGGAAACTGTGACTTTACCACAGTGGCCTTCCCTTTCCTAGACAGCCACTGCAATGGCTGAAGGAGAGGACAGGCAGACTGCAAGGCTGCAGTGAGGAAGGAAAGCCTCGGAGGGTTGCAGAAGGCCTGCAAGTCCTCTGGTCCTTCATCCTCAGAGGAGGGAGGACCGACTTACCGTGGAGGGGCTGCAGCTAAAACTCCTGGTGGATTGATGGAACTGCTCTCACTGATCACGTACCGGTGCTGCAGGGGAGGTGATGCTCTGATGCTGATAGTTTGGTTTTTTTCTTCCCAAACCCATAAAACTAGCCTGCCTCTGATTGTTTTTATTCAGATGAGGTAATCTTAGTGTGATCTTTAGTGTGGAAGAGATGGAGATGAAAAAATAATTGAAGGCATTAACAGTGACAGCCTTGCTCTGAATGTGAGAACAAGCAAAACTAGTTTAAAAATGCATTTATTTCCAAGAATTGAGTTATGAACGTTTCATATCAAAGTTTGTTGCTGGTGATGAAGACTTTTTCTGTTGGGTTTATAGTTAGAAGCATAAAGCCTGTAAGTGGTTAGTAACAAGTGGGATGGGAAAGGTTCCAGGACATTATATGTAGACCGTTCTGTCACATAGCACTGTCAGTACTTCATGTTTTTTAGAAAATACATTTCTTAGTAAAAATCCTTCTGAGCCTCAGTGTACCATGCAGTCTCAGCTCCAGCTGTGTTGAGGGAATGGACTCTGAAGCAGGTTTTGTTCTGCTGTCATACTGTCGATAAGAGTATTATGATCACTTACAAAATTGGATGATTCAGTAGCTTCTGTATATAGTCAGCTTTGCGGACAGGATGAAGTCACTTTGAAAATGTAACAGCAAAAGCATCAACAATCCTTTAAACTAACAGTGCCCGTGGTAACCGCTGTGACCGTGAGACACCAGCTGAGGCTGCAGCACGAGAGGTTCCTGGGCTGGCCATGGGGCTCCCTGTGCGTCCCCTTGCTGAAGGGCAGAAAGCAGTCCGAACTCAGTGAGGCGCTCTAATGTAGTGGCTGCACAGGAGCCTGCACGCATGACTGAGGTTACTTCATTTTTAGCCAACCCAGAAACCTCTTTTGAGAGTATTTTTGATCTGTACCTTGCTTCTTTCTTAATTGTGTTGATTGCAAACTGACCGGTTCCACACAATAAAGCACGTTGGCACTATTTCCCTCATTCTTCTTGAGCACTGAACCTGATCTTTCATCTTCGTTATAAAGTAACTGAAAGCTCTGTTTTGCCTCTTGCATAGAAATCAATTCTGTGAAAGTCTTTTACACCATCACTTTATTTTTTGACAAATATATGTTTCTGTGGTAGGGATAAGTCATTGATGATGTCAGTTGTGGTTACACATAAAGCCAGGAAGATTGTGTGTGTGTGTGTGTACATTTTTAATTTTCAAATGTTTTATCAAGGCTCTGTCTCTGGTGTTTCTTTGGGGTCATTTGCATGTTCCTTGGGTTACATCTTTGGGATGAAAGATATAAAATTAAAATAAGTCTGTGTTATCTTAAGGAATGACAAATGCATGTTGTGTCCTCTGACTGTATGTTCTACTAACTTTAAACTTGTAGAATCAAATCTTTGTCACAAAACTACGTACCAAAAGAGCCCAATGGGAAATGTTTTACCTAGCAATATGAACCACTTAAGGCAGCCTGTGAGGTAGCCAGGGGACAGAATTAAGGTCCATCTCTTGCACAACGTGATCCCACAATTACAGTCTGTAGCTGTAATGCCATTGCAGATGGTGAGAGTCCTGAGTCTTATCTTTGCAATCTAAAAGCTGGAATTGCTTTTACAAAGCTACACCGATAACTCAATTTATCCTTAGTATTGAAATGACAAAGCTAATGCTCCTTGTGCAACAGCAGCGTCTGACACAGCATGGTAGCGGCTTTGTCGGTCCCGTCTCCTTGTTGGATGGTGGGCACCAGCAGCAGCTGTGTGCAGGGTGCCACAGGGCGCCTGGGAGCCCTCTCCTCCTCGCTCCTGAGAGCAGGTCAGCAGCTGTCTTCTGCAGCGCCCGGAAAAGATGGCATTTCCCCCAGTACGGCCTGGGCGATTCCCATCCAGCATGAGCTACTCCCCCTCCCACCAGCCTGGCTCTCAAACTTGTCTGCCCACCTGTTTTTGTGCTGTCCTTACACTCTTGGGCTGTCTGAGGAGAAGGCTTCCCAAGCTTGACAGATTCCTTGCTAAAGAAAGGAGAAATCTAGCAATGTGGAGGAATTGAGGGCATATGTTTCTCGAAGCTTCTTTTTGGGTAGATCCAGCAGCCTCTGCAAAACAGCTGTAGGTGGAGCAGCATTGTGTGCCCTCGCTGTAGCAGTGCTGCTCATGTTACAGCACCCTATGTACACAGAGAGGGGCAATGGTCATACTGTGAAGTTCAAGAGCAACTAGAAGTATTTTGTGCTGCAGGAGGGTGGCATGCTGTCATCTTTGTACTTTTTCATTAGTGTACTTGTTTTAGAGTTAAATTTCCCTAGGAAGCAAGAAAATAGTGTCATGACTGACTGATTAGATTCATCAGGGACCTGGTAACTCCTGTCCATGCTCCTCTGGAGCGTCATCCTGCCACCGCAGCTCACCAGGTACTCTTCAGATGTCACAGAGGGAGCCCCAGGGAAGCATATGGCTGCACCTTGTATGAGGAGGCACTTATACCTTTTATCAGAGAATTCATTTGTGAGTTCTACTAGACAGGTGTTTCTCTGTTGTTTGGCCTGTGGGTATACAATGTTTTAAAACCATTGTTGCCTTACAAGGAGCAGTAGTAACACAGCAGGGGTCTTCAAAGATGCTTCCCAGCATCGCACTGCAAACCATTTCTGCCTTGATTTGAATCTGAGCGCTGCTGTGGCCAGGGGCCTAGTTTTATGAGACTGCTCTGCGAGGAAACCCCAGTGGTGTAAGAGTTTTCCTTTTACTCGTAATCTCAGCAACAAATATCTGCTTGTTTTGTCTTTAAGTGGGACATTGTGCTTTTCCACAGCCTCACTGCAGTGTCACTGGGGACTGTGTGGGACACCAGGCTGCAGTGCCATGGGGCCAGCGTCCGTGCTGTAGTGCAGCTGAAATGCAGCAGCAGCCAGAGCGCTCTCCTCCCCCTTCCAGTGTGCACTTCTCAGCTAAGGTGCCCCTGAGCAGCCACATGCATGCACGCTGCTGGGCTCAGCTGCAAGTTAAGGGCTCCTTACTTTGCATTTCTCTTTAGCGACGATGCAGTTTAGTCCTTTCTTCGTCTTTCTTGTCCAGAGATGTTAATGAGTCCTGTAACCCAAGAGGTACATGGAGAACACCCAACCAGACAGAGGGACATACTAGCCCATTTCTCAGAACTCCACTTATATCTTGTAATAAGATTAGTGACTTTGTCTGAAGTTAATCCTTTAAATGTGTTAACTCCAAACAAATGAGTTCCCTGTGCTGCTCTGGCCTGGAGTTAAATTAGGCTTTCTAGGAACCAAGAGCACTACTCAATGAAATAGTCATGAAACAGAAAAACACTTACACTTCTGGGGCATTTGCTTGCTTGCATATCAGTTTGTTAATAGTATAATTCAATTATTTCTGTTGATTCTTGTTGTAGTGAGGATCTTTATATCCGCAAGATAACTGCGTGTTACCATTCTACGTCTGTTTACTGACAGAGCGACTGCATGCCAGGATGGCAACTTCAAACCTGGAGAACCAGCTACACAGTGCCCAGAAGAATCTACTCTTTCTTCAGCGAGAGCATGCCAACACACTGAAAGGCCTGCACGCTGAGATTCGACGCCTGCAGCAGCACTGCACAGGTAACTGGAAAGCGTGCTGATACGCTAGGTCAGTGCTTGACTCTTCACAAGAATGGGGTAACTGCTTCCTACTTTAGCAGTGAAGCCTCTGCAACAGAGCCCCCCATTGGGGTATAGTTAGGGTGTGTGTATTTCAGGGCATGACAGTGTGGTCAGTAAGCAAAGATCTGTCTTTAAAAAAAAAAAAAAAAAAAAACTGTCATGGGATTGTTCTGTGGCTGGGTTGTTCTGTGTTTGTGGTTTTTTTTTGTTTTTTTTTTTTACAGATTTGATCTTTTGCAGTGGATCTCCTATTACTGTAAACATGCTCACCAAGTGGTTTATTTGTTGTTGTTCTAACAAAGAAAGCTAAACAACTTTTTTTCCTCTTCAGATTTAACCTATGAGCTGACTGTAAAGACTTCAGATTTGTCAGGTAAGGAATGCCTAACATTTTTCGTTTAGTGTTCATGTTAAACTGCCTTATGTTTCTTAATGTTTTACTTTCTCTATTATAAGTAGCTGACAATACTTTGCGTATGGGATGTTGACTCTACAGATTCAAAAGATACAAGAGGAGCTTTCTACTTTCCAGAGTTACAGTTATTTATGGAGTAAATGTCACAAGTTCTTTACAAGTCCATCTTCGAAAGAGCTAGAAAGAGTGCAGAACTGCTGACTCCTCTGTTTCTAGACAATCAGTTCCCGAGTTCCCTGTGCATGCTGCATGCATTGCAAGCAGGAACGGAATTTTAGAGGCAGGAGAGAGACTTATTAAAACTTAGCTGGTATTGTTATCATACCACAAAGGTTTCTTCTTTCTGTGATGTTATCAACAGGTGAAGCAGAGGAATGAGAGACTCCCTGGGTGTAACCTCCCGGATCAGGGACAGTGTAGGACTGGATGTGTGTCGCGAATAAGAGACAACACAGGCAAATCTAGCAAGGCAACTGAGCTGCTTTGCATGGGCTTAGCATTAGTTTTTGATATTGCAGTGTATGTCAGGTACTTATAACAGGATTTTTAGAGTAGGTGGTCTGTTAGTAATGCCGGTGTGTTGGTGCTGTGACAGACATGGACATTGTCCACTGTGGAGGGGACAATGTCTAACAATATATAGTTGAAAGTTCTGTGACTAGAGTGCTTGTTATTGGAGAATTTGGGGCTGAAGGTCCCTGCTGAACAGTTGGAAAGCTGTCCAGCTGTAAAAACTAAAGAGTGACAAAATCACCCCACATGCCCCATGTGTGCTGTGAGGGCACAGGTGCGGAGATGGGGTCAGCCTGTAGGGCATGCCCACAGTGCAAGATCCCCTGGTGTACAGGGTGGCGTGTTCTTGTGAAAAGGAGGCAGCCAGGCTCAGACACCTCATCCCGGTAGAGGCTTCTACAACTGTGAAGAGGAACGTCTCTGCCTACAGTCACAGGCTTCCGCCATCCATGGGGGACCAAAGCTAATGCCTGGGCATGTCTTCATGGTTTCTGTAATCCCCATTTACCTCAATGCGTGAAGCATCTTTACTTGGTGTCAACTGCTTTCTTTTAAACTGTGGTGAGTGGCAGTAGCTCTTCATCTCTTCTGTAAGAGCCATCCCAGTGCTTCTGAAGATAAAGTGATTCTTACAGCATTTGCACAAGTTAGCCTTTGGGGTCTTATGGGTTTGAATTGTCAAAAGGAACCCTGCTCCACTGTTTTACTTAATGATAGTCATTAACTTGAATGATTTTCCTGTTCTTCTAGAAAATGGTAGTTCAAGAAGTGATGAACTCAAAAGAAAGTGTGAAGATCTTGAAGCTCAACTGAAAAGCAAAGAGGCTGAAAACAATGAATTATTGAAAGAACTGGAACAAAAGAATGCAATGATAATGGTGCTGGAAAACACTATTAAAGAAAGAGAAAAGAAGTATTTGGAAGAGCTAAAAATGAAAAGCCATAAGCTCAATATGCTGTCAAGTGAACTGGAGCAGAGAGCAAGCACTATTGCTTATTTAACTTCTCAACTGCACGCTACTAAGAAGAAGCTGCTGAGTTCCAGTGGGACTTCAGAGGGGACCCCTTCTGGCAGTCCAGTGTTGTCCAACTATAAGCCAGCCCCTCCCAAAGACAAACTGCCGGAGACTCCACGACGCAGAATGAAGAAGAGCCTGTCAACACCACTCAACCCTGAGTTTGAAGAGGCCTACAGAATAGGATCGGATAGCCGGAAGCTGCTGCTAAGAGAGCCTGTGGATGCCATGCCTGATCCCACTCCGTTTTTGTTGGCCAGAGAAACGGCAGAGGTCCACCTTATCAAGGAGAGGCCGTTGGTTATTCCACCAATTGCTTCAGATCGAGCATCCGGTGAATCACACAGTCCGGCCCGAGAGAAGCCACACAAGGCACACATTGGGGTGGCGCATCGCATCCACCACGTCGCGCCATCCCAGCCTCAGCCGGAGGTTGAAACGCTGGCAGTGGATCAGGTCAACGGAAGCAAAGTGGTCAGAAAGCACTCAGGGACAGACAGAACTGTTTAAGTAAAATCACTTGCTCTATTCTGTTGCTGTTTATGCACTGTGATCCTATAGGATAAATAGCACCTGCAGTAAAGTTTCTTTTGATGCCCCATGCATGCCAAACTTCTTCCAGATACATCATTAATAGATTATTCTCCTCTAATGAACCCTAATAGGACTGTGTTCATATGGCAAGGCATATAACTACTAAATGCTGTGGCCAAATCAGGGGTACCTGACCGCTTGCTTCTGAGCACTGCTCCATTTATGGTAACTACACATGTGGACAAAGGCACAGGCTGCAGGCTGTGTTATTATTGTTAACGAAAACAAACTTAGCTCTAACCCTGCAGCAATAGGTAACGGCTGTTAGCATTTAAAATAGCAACAGGTCTTTTGTCTCCACTGTGTATGTAGCAATTCGTACACAAACATTAACTTCCATGACAAAGCCTTTTCTCATGGTAGCATTGAAAATAATGCAGCTGCAGCTATACTTTAAAAGGCACTAAGGACTTTTTACCTTCATAGGCTTTTGGTTGCAAATTGTGTTCATAGTTTCTCTGGCTCAAAAATCCTGAGAGTCCCAGCAAGTATTACTTATTAGTCCTAAATACTTTGGTTTGTGGCTTTAAGTTTTTTAAAAAAAAAAAGGGAAGGAGAGTCTAAAGCACTCCTTTCAATGGTTAATGATTCTTACAGAAAGAGTAAGAACACTTCTTTAATTTTTATTTTTTTTATTGAATGGCTTCATTGCACGTTTTACACTAGTCTGTACACTGCACTTGTGGCACCTTCCATACTGGCTCAGAGCTCCTTTTTCAGGGAGCAAATGTAACTGACTATCCAATATGGGAATGGTTCCTTATGCTCTAACCTGCACTTTTTCTTTTTATAAAGGGATTATTTTTGTTTCCTGAAAGCCGTAGACTTGTTCTGGGTATCATCAGACAGCATGGGCTTCTAAGCTATTATATAGCTTATATATCTTATATATATAAGCTATTAGAAGCCCATACTGTCCCTTTAAAATGTGTGCATTTAGTTTGAAATGTAATTGACTTAACCAATTCATACGAGAGGAGAACCTGGCATCCTCAAGTTTTATCTCAGCCAATTGGGACACGCTTGCCTTGTACTTGTCCTGGTTCCCTTACTCCTGCCTAGTTAGCAACAGGTAGCCCCAACATCTCTTGTTAGACTACTTGATTTTTTATGTTTGTTCTTTTTTCTAGGAAAGAAAGGCATACTGAGAGCAGTGTGAGTATGTAATTTTGGACGGGAGCACAAATCTGACAGTTTTTTTCCTAAATTCTGATCAGCACCTCCAGCTCACCTCTGCTTCACTCTTGTCTGCAGCCTCTGAGTAGGACAAGCAAGAAAAAATGGCTCCCAAATGCTGCTAAGCTTATGATGTGCCTTCAAAAACTTGGAACACGTAACCTTTGTGAAACCTGGTGAAGGATTCCTGCCTGCCCTCTTTCCTTCCTCTTTGCCAGCTGTAGTCTTAACCCCCTTAAGCTTTTTCTGCAGCTGTGTGTTGGTGTGTGTTTCCTTCGGGAGCCTTGGATAACAACTATTTGTCAGCTTCCCTTAAAAAAAAAAAAGGCACTGGCAGGATGAAGACAGCTGTTCTTCCTAATTGTGGTAATGCTAAATTTCCTGTGTAACATGATAACTTACAGCAGGGTTGTTGCCAGTCAGAGAGGATTTGAATGTCCACTAGCCCTAAGGCCTCCCGTGTCGTCTGCCTGTGCACCTTCACAATTCAGTCACTTGCTAGTTTAAAGCCCAAGAAACACTCGTCAGTGTTGTGCCTTGTCAGTTGTGTGGTAGGATTTGTTTCATGAATTGTGGGGAGGGACAGGGAGAAGGCTGTGTTCCTGAAAAATGATTGGTTAAAGACAGCTTGTTATTCCAGGGTTTACCACGTCTAAGTGTATTGCATTACCCAGCAGTGGTTTCGGTTTTGGGTTTTTTTGGTTGTTGTTGCCATATTATGATGGCTATCTATTGTATGAGTGAACTACCCTGCCACTTGTTCAAGGCCGATGGAAGGCATCGCTTCTAAACACAGCAGAAGCGATGCTTTGGGCAATTAAAAATGTTTCTTACAACCATACAGGCAAACCTTAGTCTTTGTGTGTGTGTGTGACAAACTTACTACATCTTTCCTATATCTGTACACAGCAACTCAGAGTGTTTCTAAAACAAAATGCAAATGATGAAAAACACTTCCTTTTCAAATGTGTTTATTGAGACTACTAGCTTAGTTGTAACATACTATTTAAGGTCAAGTACACCTAAGTGAACACTACCCCACCCAGGGTAGTGAATCTTTGCCTCTTTGTTGTTTTTGTTTTTTCCTTCCCTCCCTGAGGCAGTGAGTTCTTTGAGAAAAATCTAGTGCCTAACTTCAAGCTATCAATCTGCATTCAAAGTGAGACAAACACCTTGAAGCACCCAATGGGAAATGTGCCTTGTGGTGTAAAGATCAGCTTCAAAAACAAGGCCAACGCCCATCGCGTTCCTTCTCATGGAGGTGGTGTACACCGGTGTCCGGAGGGTATTCTAGAAGAGTGTGGAAGAAAAGGAAGACACTGAATAGTTCTCAAAGTGCATGAAAGTGGAAACAAGAGGAGCCTCTATGAGAGATGGTTGACTTCAGAAATTCACTCATTCTGTTTCTGTAAGAAGTTTCACACTGCATACTCTAAAATGCTAGTGGTAGTTCTGGTTGTGCTAAGAGGGAAATGACCAGCAGCTACTGAGATTTAAAAATAGGAAGAAGGTGATAAACAAATGTACCTCAGTGTCCCCAGAGGAAAAGTACCTGGAGTTTGAGCCTGTGCGCTTCAATGGGGATTATCTTCAGAATGGGTAACTCCACCACCAGCACTCCGGGCTTGCTTTTTGTAAGGCAGCTGTTCTCTATGTCCCAGTCTGCTCCCTCCAGGAACAGGCCAGAAACAAAGCAACCTGTAAAGGCAGAAATATGACATCTTGTGTAAGTCAGGCCACTAAAAAACACTGTTTAAGGCAACGTTATTCCTGCAGTGGCTCTCCTTGGCATTAATACAGTGATGACAAAACTTATCCTTTCAAACTGCATCTACACAGAGGAATATTTACCTGTGGTGTCTGTTTGTATAACACAGCTGTGAGCTGTGGGTTTAAAAAAAACATTTTTAAATTAAAATTGGCTCAGTTGCATTATATGTGATAAACAGGAATAAATACCAATTTCCTACCAGTTTTCTTCCCCACAGTGGATACCACCCTTGGTATTTGCTCAAGTAATAGCCAAGTTATGAGAGAACTTGTTCACTCTGAAGGTTAGCTCATGCTGACAAAAGGTGTGGGTTTGGACAGAGTTGTTCTAATACCAAGCATTTTTGTTGAAATGTTGGTAAATACAGAATAATCTAGGCTTGACGTGACCTTTTTTTTCGTTGCTAACTGATAGCTATATTTGGCAAATGTATTTCTTCTCCATTTCCAGTCAGGTATGATATTCAAAAAGAGTTGCTTACCTGGCCCTCTAGCCAGAGGTTGTTGCATTTAGTGATTAGAACACTGTCATTTCTAAGAGATATATATACACAATACGTAATACAACAGTTATATTTACTTTTTTTTTTTTTGCTTAAATACATTATTTGCAGTGTAAATGCATGTTTACTTAGTCTTAGCAAGTTTATAATGCTTTTCCCATTAAGAAAATACATAAAGAGATATAAGAGAGAGACAAGGAGAGGCTGGAAGTTGAAGAAATATACAGGTGTGTGTGAAAGAAGCTGAAAAAAGATCATCATTTGTGTATACACTTGCTCAGCAGCAAAGCAGGAACCTGAACCAAGCTGATTTCCAGCTTGTAATCATGCGGACTGTTAAAACCATAACCACGCACATTGTCTGCAGAGGTATGATCTAAATAATTCCATTCAGTAGGCCAAGCAATTTCTCTCCCTCACCCCTCTGGCCCCAATTAACTGCTTTTTTTTCCCCTCAAATGATCATAAAACCACTTACCTTGTATAGACCCTTCAGTGATGTCTTCTGCAGTCCTGTATTTAGTCACCTCAGTGTAGAGGGTGGAGTGATCCAAGGGCCACCTGTTCTTCCTGCAGGTGGCCTGAACAAGAGCTGTCAGGTACGATTCTGGAATGTGCAGGCCTGAGAGCCACATCACCTTTGGTTCACACTCATTAACCTGCAATCAGTCCGAGAAGACAACCTGCAGCACTTGTTCTCTTCTCCTACCACCTCACTCAACTCAGAGACCAACCAGTTTAACTCCACTGTTGTACAATGAATCGGTCTTGTTTTAGGTAGTAATTGACATTAGTTCAAGTAACTTATTTAAAGCAGCGTGGTTTCAATGACTTCTGCACCCTAGCACTAACTTGCACAGCGTATCATGCAGGTTAACAAAAAAGAGAACTTTATCTAGAGTGTCTTACTCACCCAGCTGGTGTACTGGTTATACCTAGCTCTAAAGAAAATGATCCAATTTCCAAGTGTTTTTAGGGTGTCAGGGGCCAGCCGCCGCCAGATTCCAGGAATCTGTCCATTAAAGAGAGCCCGAGCCACGTCGTCCAGTTCACTGCTCATTCCAACTTCCCCAGACAAGGCCTGGAAAGACAGTGAGAGTCCTGAGTGCCTGAATGGGCGCAGTTAAAACCCAACTGATTTCACCCAGTAGCTGTGCTCTTACGTACCCGCTGTAGTTCAGCCAGTGACTTTGCCATGCGAATGATCAGCTTATTAAAACGTTCCAGTTCCTGCAACAGCACCACAGTTGTAGGGGATATGTCTAGTCCAAAACCTTTTCGTATCTGGGCAAGATCAAATACTTGTGGTATCTTGCTTTCTATATCCTTAGCAACATGTGCAATATATTCATCTCGACTAATTCCTGTACCAGATTCACCTGAAATAAAAATGGGTTAGTGAGACTAAATCAGAATAAATTATCCCTTCTGTTATTCTCTAAGACCATTTTGAGGGCTGACTCACCTTTTGGCACCGAATTCTTTGCCCAGTCCCTGTGGCACTGACATTTGCACTAGAAGACTTCCCACATGCCTCAAACTGTGCCTCTGGGCACATGCTGAACAATTTCCATGCTGGCAGGACTAAGCAGTTCAGCTGCTTTGCTTGCCTCCCAGTCCCTGCTGTTTTGCCACCTCTGTTCCACGAGGCCACTACACATTGTGCTGGCAGGCAAACACTAACCTGTGTAGCCACAGAAACCTCTGCGTGCCAGCCTGTGGCAACGTGCAGGGTGCAGGCAGCACTACTGGCTGCAGCGTCCATGCCAGGCCCCAGACCCCATGAAGCGGGCAGGGGCACGGTTGGCATTGCAATCTCTTAGCACAGAGCTCACCACCTTAGTTCCTATTCATGGAAACAGTCCAAAGCGATGGTGAATGTACCTGTCTGAGGCTGCAGCTCAAGGAGATGAGACCATAGATCACGAACTGCCTCTGTGTAATACCCAATCTCAGCGTTTGCATGAAGCCCAAACACCTCTGGTGTATTAGCAAGTGGCAGAGATTCTATCGCTTCTGCAATACAAAAACATGTTTCATAAATACACCATATATTAAGCCACAGCTACCAGACCGAAAGAATGC